CCCCATTTCAAAATAAAAGCCCCATAGAGTGAATTCTAACTGAAATGCTTGTGATGAAGCCTGGCTTTAATTTTTTTACAATTAATTTCAGCTTTCAGCATTCCAACGCATTTTCAGCAGGAAATGCATTTTCTAGTTTTAAATATTCTTTTGTATATTTGGCTCCTCTGATCTAACCGGCCTCTACGGACCATGAATAGAGGTGGACGTGGGCAGACAGCGTCGGGCCTCGCTGAATGCTAATCTGCCGATGCTTTTAAGTGAAGAGCTTCGTCATCTCGACCCGACTACTGACAGCAGCCATGTTTGTTTGTCTGCTGGACGGGCAGACGTCCTGATTACCGTTAATTAGACTCTAGTGTAATCAGCTGTTATATTGTCTCTTTTAGATTACACACTACTCGCTCCATGTGTACTGGAAGAATATGGGGGCCATATGTTGATGCTCTTTTATGATACCGTTACAGCTAAGTAGCACCTGTCGTTAGGCAGCCCTATCCATAGAACACCAATAAAGCCATATATGGTTAGACGGTCCACTGTGTGTTGTCGTCATGAACTTGCCAGGCTTTCAGTAAAGTCACCCCACGAATAACCGCATGTCGTTATTAAACTTTGGTTTTTGTACAATTGAACAATGATATGAGGTGTTAATCAGCGGGCGTTTAGACGTTTTGTTACCTTTGGAAAGAGCCAGGCTGCTTCCCTCTGTTTCTAGTCTTTATGCTAAGCTATGGCTAACCAACTGCTGGCTAAAGCTTCATATTCACCCCACAGAAATGATAGTGGCAGCTGAATGAATCGCCGAGGTAAACGGACTTTATTCCAGTAAGTCGTGAGTCTAATCACTCAGTATTTGTTGCCCTTGCTGATCGCTAACTTTAGCTGGTCTCCATTTGACCATAAATCTCACAGGTACAAACACTTAAAGGTGACGGATCTGCATACAAATACACCATCTGTCTTCTTTTCCCGGCTCTTTAGAAGTGCTGATCATGAGAAGTTTAATATAAAGTAGCTTAATTTGACCTCAATGATAAATACAACGGAGACAGTTTAAATAGGCCGTATTGATCAGAAAACTGAATCCATTATAAAGTGTGCCAGTTGTCCTCTTCCTGCACAGCGCCTCGTTTTACACACAACTAATCAATAATGTTGATCAGTGCCGTTAAATGTTGATGCTGCAACCTGTTCTTTTGCAGTTAGCCATTAGTGACGGTTACTTATCAGCATGTTTGCACCACCAGAGGGAATCTAACGTTACCTTTTTAAAACTGATCGCTGACTAATAATCAACAAGATTCCTCTGTTTGTGTCTCCTTTCCTTGTTGCCTGGTAACAGCTTTACTGTCACATGTAGGGGGAGGGTTCAGTGGCACTGACTCCATGTATTCCATCTGAATCCTTCTGGAAACAGACAGAATACCGCTCCGACCTCACCGGTCAAAGTTGGAGCTCCTCATAATGAGAAGATGTGAATTTGCTTCGAGATGTTTGATTCGCTGTGAACTGGAGGTGATCATCGCCGACCTTCTCCTGCTCACCTGCTTCTCACTTCCCTGAATGAACCAGAACGTTCTCCACCAGATCGTCCGTAGCTTTGTAGCCTCTGTCTCTGCTTCCCTGATTCACGGATAATGGATCTCTGCTCAGAGTGCTTTAACACACGGGATTCATTTGCACATCTAGATATTGTTTCAAACTGTTTTTGTCTTCAGTAAATAAAGGCATCGACCAATCACATTGTGCAGAACGGACATATTCAATACGTACACTATTGTATTAGTCTGAGCCACAGCTGTGTGTAAGAAGTGGACGTCAGCGTGACGTCATCCGCTGGTTGGTGGACTTTGAAGCCTCGATTTCAGCATTTTCCCGTCTTCATCTGGAAACACAGTCGTGTGATTTATGTAACAGGATTCATTAAAGTCACTTCAAGTGTTTGCGTGTGTCTGTCTCGCACACATTACAAAGCTGGAAACTTGTCATTGTACTTTAATAGGGAAACATTACAATATGCTTCAATGTGGTGACAACACATTCAGAAAAGTAACGCGTGTGTTTACATCTCAAAGCATCAAAGAAGCACAAATAATACAGTTAAGCAAAAGCAGAACCAAGAGAGAACTTATTATTTGACTCACTTATTATCACAGCTTTACACGCAAGATATAAGACAAGTGTCTTGTTTTAACATTTACTTATTTCATTCATTTTTTTTAAAATTTTCTTTTGTGCAAATAAAATAAACCTTCACGCAGCATCTGTTTTTTGTCAGCGACGGTTCCTCAGAGAACCTCTCTCCTGGACCGAAGGAGTAAAATATAAATGCACACAGGTCACTGCTAGTCCTTTGGAACCTGCTAAAGTCTTTAATGTGTTGATTGCATGTCGGTCCCCTCTGTGTCCCGGACCCAGACTATGTCCCGGTCGCCCCCCTGAGCTAACAGACCTCCATCCACTGATAACTAATACGTCTGTTTTCCACGTCTGGCTGTGATTGGACGAGTAGTGAGCAGCACCGACAGTCATTCTCTTAATCTTATTTGTTCAGGGAAGATTGGCTCCCATTTCACTCCACAAAGAGCTGCTCATGTATCAGGCCGCTCTGCCTCCGGAGGTATAACGGCTTTAATTAAACCCTTCAGCGATGAAGCCATTTGAAAATCCCAAATGATCCGACACCCTCTGATCCATCCCCTCTCATTGTAAACTACATCAGATAATATCACACTCTTGTGCGGGATGTTCAGGTTGTAATTCATGTATTACTAATTATAGTACTGATGCAGTTTAGTTCGTTATAGTTATTGTACCTCCTTAAGTCAGTTTATGCATTGTTTAATTTCCCAGAATACATTCAGCCGTGGGTTAAAGGACGAGCTCTTCTTCTTCATTCTTCTGTCAACAAAAGCAACGTGTTGGTCCGTCTCTCAGTGCTTTCTGACGTCTGACTGTAGTTTTTCGTGAGCCTTTGTGGCAGCAGGACGATGTGGGGTTGAGCTGCATTTAGACTTTCAGCGTGTCGTTTTACGCCTCATCCTCAGTGTGAAACAGCTGCAGTTACATTCAGGCACAAAACCACTCAGCTGTGATTCCTTTACGTTTGCTCTGACTGAATGTAGAAACATGGACATTCAACGTATCCGTTGTTTGCAGAGACATACAAGGACAGCATTGTTTCCCAATATAACTGCAGCCATTTTACCATCTACAAACTACACATACCATAACATGTTGTTAGCATGTTTAAGTAATGTGCTAACATAGCTCTTAAGCATGCATTGGCCCCTAAGTACTCTACTGTTAGTTCACTCAAAGTTGATCTGAGGCTGGCAAGAGTTTCAAGGAGAATTCAGAAAGACATTGAAACTAATCATGAACTTGTTTATGGAACGATGCGAGTTGTGAATAATTGTAACAGGAAGATGAGTTTGAACCGAGTTGTAATAAACTAAAACGACATTAGTTTGTGTACGTGAAAATATATATATATATATATATATATATATATATATATATATATATATA